TTTTCGATTCGGATCGCAAAGTTCTTCTGTCTGTCGGAATGGAGCTGATGTGTTAGATCGTCACATGCGGGCTAGGGCTAAAATGCATGCCCATATTAATCTCATTAATCCAGCTTGCCCTAGTCGAGAGGCCTAGGGTAGCCACTTGTTGAGGGGAATTTTGAGTCAAACCCGAGATAACCACTAGCCCACTAGTTTTGACTAGATTAGTAGTTGAGGGGGTATGTTTTGTTATGCCTATTTTAGGATTACTTGGCTCATCACCGAGGGGCCCATCTCCTCTTTTCTCTGTCTGTAATTAATGCGCTTCTCCTTCTCTCCTATCCCACCGGCTTCTAATTCCTAATATCCCACCCTAGCAAAATTCGCCTGCATGCCGTTGGATTCAAGATTTGCATTGCCCATTTTGACAATCAGATCAAATCTCGATCCAGAGTCGTTTTTTTCCTGAGTCACGGGAATCTCCTTATTCCCAGGTAAGTTTCTTTTTTTGGTATCTTTCCTTCCCGGTCGTGTCGACTACATCCATGAGCTAAACTTTTCCTCCAACTCCACCGTGGATGTTGTGGGTCCGCTGGCTGCTTCCTTACCCCCTTACCCTTCCATTGCGGCGCCCTTGGCCATCCTAGGGCAGTGTTCTCGAAGATGGCCATAACACTCACATTTAAAACGGATACAGGGAGGCCCTCATACTCAACCCGTTGCAAGTACCCTTCAATCATAATTTTGGAAATCAACGGTTTCGTGAGATCCACGAAACAGCGAGCCTGGCAAACTTCCCTCTTTCAGTGGATTCTGTGTTGTAATCGATGCGCACAACTGTCCTAATTACCTTAACAATTGCCCACAAACACTTTTGTGGTAATATTGGATATGGAGTCCAGGGAAACGGACCCAGGCAATCACTGAGGCCATATGATCCTCACTCATTGAGAATGACGACGTCCAAGGCTGCATAGTCAGATAGTGTCCATAGATGACCCAAGGACCCCCAGTTAGAGTGTGTGTGAAGTCATCCACATCACTGAACTTGACTAAGTATTAGCCATTTTTCAGATCCACCAATTGGAAAGTCCCTATTGATCACTAGAGGATTTGAAGTCAACCAAGCAAGGGCCTATAGCCGATTGTTCTGCCCAAAAGTCTGATAATCACAGAGTTCTTCATGGACTGAAACAGGTAGTTGTGAACTTTGTCTGAGAACAAAAAAGTGGGGAAGTCTCCATCCACCACGACCACCACATCTTCCTCCTGAATTTCAAAGTCTTCTTTATTCTGTTCCTGGGCTTTGGTGTTGGTGAGCTTATCCCCGAATGAAACCCTGTCTCTCCCCAAGCTTGGGACTGCCCTACTTTATTTGGAGTGATGTCCAATTGGTCACCCTCCTCAGATGCTGTCAAGTCCATCTCGCTTCCCTCATCCATGTTCACATCCGTCATCTGTTCCACCCTCTCCTCTCCCTCAAGAGTCAATTCGACGGGTTCTTTTCTTGTCCTGACCTTTTTGGTCGACCGATTGTTATCTGGGCATGGCGGAGCCTCACCTTTTTCATTGAAAGAAATATCATCAAGAGAAATCATTCTTTTTTTTTTTATAAAATTAATTTAATTAGTAATAAATAAATAGTATTGTAAATACTATTTATATTATTGTCATTATTATTCTTATTATTATTATTATTATTGTTATTGTTGTTGTTGCTTCATCACTAATAGATCTCAGTCGGGTGAGTTTGAGTCACGCATAGTACTGTCCGTACCATCACCTTCAATTGACACCAGAAAATGAGTTGAAAAAGATATGGAAACATGTCAAGTTTCACATGTAGAAATGCTTTGTCAGAAAAAGATGGAATCAAATGCAAATATAAACGAACATTTCAAGGTTAAATGGAAGCACTCCCTGAATTTACAGTTAATGCAATAATTATCTTCCCTCTCATGGAGGCTGTCTATACGTGGGTAACAACTTTTTAAAAGCAACATGCTGCGAAAATAACTTACACTGCAAATATAATAAGAACGATTTTTGCATAGTTTGATAAAACCTTTCAAGGCCAAGAACCCTTTGAAGGTGGAACCCAACAAAATACAACTATGAACAAGATAATTTCTACCAATTCAATCTATCTAGGGCCAAAAAAGTTCTTAAATAAGAACATCACTATATGATTTCTTAACATTTACACAAAATCTTCTCACCATTATCAACAGGTTGTTCCTGTTGACCAGGAGGGAAGTGCTGTTTGTGTTCTATGATTATACAAAAATCAGAGCTGTTGGTATCTTATGATTACACAAAAATCAACTCAACAGACAGAATTAGGACTTGAAGGTATGATTATACAAAAATCAGGAGGGAAGTGCTGTTTGTGTTTTATGATTATACAAAAATCAGAGCTGTTCATATCTTATGATTACACAAAAATCAACTCAACAGACAGAATTAAGACTTGAAGGTATAAGTTTGTATTATAAAAAGATTGATGAGATTATTCATTTTTTATGATTAGAGCTATAATAACTATAATTTTCAGCTAAAAGAAACAGAAAAATCCATTATAATCTCTCAAGTCTTCCTCCCAAGGAATACTGCTTTTACCCGTTTAAGTTTCAAGTAATCAGTTTTGACAAGCCTTCTTTCCACCTCTTGGATCACTGGAAAAACAAAACATGATCATATGATGAAAACAACTACTTTCAAACCCGTGCAACAAGATCTGCTGATATTCTGACAAGCCATTGCCTGGAAGGAAGCAAAAGAATATGAAAACCGACAACAGAATCCACATTGATCTCATGGCCACTTCCAGTCTTCTGAACTCAAACTTTTGTACGGACTGAACAAATATTACAAGACTATATCATTGACTCTCTGTCGATCCAGGGGAAGAAGCCACAGTTTCTAATATTGATTGACATTCCCCTTCCAAAGCTTCCATACTATAAGATCTGCAACTGAAGTAAAAGACTGCACTCATCATCGAATCAATAAGCACCACAAATGAGTACATAATCACCAAAAAAGGCCCTTCCCAGATCCTGGATGACCCATCTCCATAACTCATTGTCTTTACTCTATGCTCAAATAATCCTTCCACAAATGCCATTCCAATGGTGGATCCAAGGAATATTAAAAGACCCACCTGAGTCTGCCCTCTAATCAAAACTACAGACCGGAACAATGCTTGTAGTCCTGAAACATCCTCCAAAACACATATGACAATTCCAGTATTGCAAATAATAATGGCATTTGCAAAAACAACAGAGAATACTAACTCCATCAAGATTGCTGCATAAAAATTCAAATCAGGGGGAAAGCCCATCACAGAAACAGTACTACATACCAAAATGAGAAGAACACAAAATGAGGTAAGGCAACTAACAATGACCATACACACCAACAAATATGTTGAAACAAGCCGCTTCCATATCTTCCCAACAATGACGAAAAATTTGTTAAGATTAACCTTTTTCCTTGAATAAGTACAATCCACAGAGTAAACCACAGCAGCTTTGGATAACAGAGACAAGGTGATGAAGAAAGGGAAACACATTGCGGATGAAACAACCGTCTCGGAAAAGCGCTGACATGACTGTCTGATATGAGGCCTCAATGGGAGTCCACTAGACTTAGCAACTAATAATAGCCTAACAGTTAGTTTATTCACAATGGATTGATCAACTAACGAATTCGTTAAATAGATAGCAGATACTGGGCAGATTAGCGAAGCAGCAGTGATCATGAAAGCCCAGGAATTATATCGAAGAATTCTAACTGTTTCTCTCAAGATCTCCAGCGCATTCATTGAATGAAAGTTATAATAATTATGCCTATCTGATGATTCTACCTTAAATAGATGCAAATGGGTATCTTTAGATCCCACCTCTTCTGCACGATCTAGCTTAGAGACCTCCATTTCCATCAATATTATACAAGAGCGAGCAATTTACTATACTATATACACATACCCAATTCACAACATAATAAACATCGAATTAATGGGATAGTTTGAGTGATTTCAGATCTGAAACAACTGCACCTACCTCTCTAACCTGATAATTAAGCATCATATACTCCGTCCAGACCTCGAAATGATGTGGAATTGAATGCAAATTCACGAGGTAGAGAGATGGGGAAGTGAGATCGGAGCTTGGTAGTAGAAGAAGAAAGGGAGATCAGCGTAAATGCAAAAAAATTGTTTCTCTAGGAGGAAGGTGTTCGTTCAACGAGAAATTTTGGTGGGGAGTTTTGCAATTCCTTAATGGAGTTAATTAAACGAAAATGGAAATTGTTGGAAGGGATTGATTCATATGATTGCTTGTGCGTTTAAAGCTGGCCTGCGAGTTGAATCTGATGTACGAGAAGAATGTGGTTTGTACAGCTTGGAAAAAGGGTTACTGTAACAATATCATTTATAAATTACATTTATTATTATTTCGGACAAATTATAAGTTCTAATATTTTTTAGTATTCGAATTATTTATCATTAGACATAAAATTAATATGAGCTTATAAATTTAGTTTATAATATTTTTATATAACTCTAGAACTTTCAACATAAAATGACAGAAATTTTTCTCTTTTTTACTTATTTTATTTTCTAGAAATTTTTAAATTTTATAACAACTAAATATTAATTTTACTAAAATTAAAAAATATATGATAATAATTTTTTTGTGTTTATTCAAAAGAGGTAGCAAAATTTATGTGGTAAAAAAATTCCTAAAAAAAATATATTAAAATAATCTTATGATTAAAAATATTAATTTATAATTTAAAAGAATTTAGAATGAAATTGCACTATAATCAACAATTTTTTACTTTAAATAAGTTTAAAATATATTTGAAAATTATAAATTACTAAATTTAAACTTTATTAATATTTTAATATTTAAAAATAAATAATTTACTTTGATAAAAAAAAAAATCATATGACTTAATTGTACATTTTATTCACATTGGTCGTATACGTCGCCGTTTCTGCTTCTTATTTGAGTTTCCGCGGATACGCACAGCATCGATATTCAATTTAAAAAGTAATATATACATATATCGAAGTCTTGGGTAAAAAGTTCCGGCATTATTAAAAAATATATAAAAATTATTATCATCTTTATCTTTCATCTCTGCTTCCTTCTTCCTCTTCGCATCCAAATTCGTTCCTTCCTTTCTCGCTCACCATGGCAACAACACCCATCCACTTCTGCTCGGTCCTCTCTGAATCAAAGCGTATTATCAATGCACACTCTCGTCACTTCCTGGCCCTCTCCGTCCTCTTCCTCCTTCCTCTTTCCTTTTCTCTCACCGTCTACCCCGCCCTTCACCGCCTATTCGACCAATCAACCATGAACAACACGCTTGCACTACTCGTTTACGTTCCTCCTCATCCTCTTCGAGACCCACCCGCGATATCCACAGAGACGATTGTCTTTCCGCTCCTTTACATTCTCTCTGTCCTTTTCTTCTGTTTATGGGCTGTTGGCTCCATCACTTACAGCGTTTTCCAGGGATTTTATGGTAGACCCGTCAAGCTTGTATCCGCAATCAAATCGGGATTCGCTTCTTTTCTACCTCTCTGGATCACTACGATCGTTTCTGGGGTTATTGTATCTGGGATCTTTCTTATTTTTGGGCTCTTCCTTTTTCTGGTGAATAAAGGGGCTGAACTTGTGGGGTTTCAAATTATTTACTCTTCTCCTTACTTCATTGGGTTTTCTATGGTCCTATTATGTGCTTTGGTGCTAGTTTTAGTGTGTTTGCAACTGAATTGGTGTCTGGTCTCTGTGGTTACTGTGGTGGAATCTACCTGGGGTTTTCAGCCATTAAAGAGGAGTACGAGTTTGATCAAGGGAATGAGAAAGGTAGCCTTGTCTTTGTTTTTATTTTTCGGGTTCGCTTCTGGGCTTCTGTTGTGGAGCAGCTCTGTTTCTGCTGTAAACTTGGGCGTTGCTGATGATCGCTGGTGGACAAGCTGGGCATTTGTTGTGCATATTGTGGTTACTTCAGCTTTTCTCATGTTGCTCATGCTTTACAACATCGCTGCAAATACTGTATTGTATATGCATTGCAAAGCTATTCACGGGGAGCTAGCTGGGGAAATTGCAGAGGAATTTGCTAGGGAGTATGTCCACTTGCCCTTTGAGGATGGTAAAGTCCCTTATGTTGTTTCTGTTGCTTATACTGCTTAAGTTGCTGACAGTGCTTAAGCATAGTCACCTTCTTGAAATCTTGTTGTGTCTGTTTCCTTGTTGGTAATTAGTTAAGACCCTTTTTCTTTTTTGTATATAAAAGAAATTTACTGAATATCAAATAAAATATAACCTCTGTGCATACTAAATAATGTTATTTATGTTTGAGCTTGCTGATGCTTCGGAAGACACTGGGTGTGTCTTAATATCATATTTATTGGATATAATGGTGTACATGAGATTCTTCCTATCAAAAAAAGAATTGTGTACTTGAGTTACCATGGATAATTTGAGTTGCCATGGATACTATGATATTTGTTGGATATAATGTTTTACTGCCTATTGTGCTTGTTTGGAACCAGTGTCTCATAGATAGTTATAAGATATTTTAATTGTTAAGTTTAAATGGACGTTTAATTTTATATTAACCTTACTCTAATACACCGAGACATGCATGTTTTAGCGTAGGAAGGCCATGAGTTTTCTCTTGTTTATCAAGTGTTCCCCAATATTTACATGTAAAGAAATAGACTGAAAATCCATTTCAACAGACAAGTTTAAGTTTTTAATTTTGTCAGATTGCTTAAGGATTTTACACAAATATCAGTTACAGAAAGTTCAGTCAATTTTCACTTGAAGCTTGTTGAAATGAAAACTGGAATAAATCAGATGGTGTTGGTTCATTTCTGGACTTCTTGGCATTTTATTTTCCATAGATATTTCTTGGTGTGCGTATATATGTATGCACAAGTGCAGAAGTTGGTCTCCAAATTGAAGCTAATCCAATATGGTATGTACCAGTACAAAAATTGCCTCTCAATGAGCAAGGAGAGCAAGGTCATACAATAGTTCATATATCTGAGGACTCAGTTCACACAGGACCAGTGCATAAACAGCTTGTTTGTTCACTAGAGTCCACCTGCTGTTATTTCTTTTCATAAACGAATTTAACAATGGATCTTCTAGAGGTCTTTGTAGATAAATGGGAAATCAGTTGTTATGCGGAAGAGAGGTTTTATGGGTGATCATAGATGTCCAATATGCACATGGAAGTCGTTGTCTATATGGCTTTGCTCTTACAGGAACAGGAAATATTCATTCATGTAAAGTCTTGTAAATCTGATTTCCTTCTATTAGTGATCTTGACTTAATCGGCTACAATTTGAACATTTTACTTAATTGCTTAAGCAAGTTGATTGAAGCCTTGGGTTGTGGCAAAATTTGGAATTCAAACACTTGTGTTTGGTGTAACTTCAGTCTTCAACTGACGCAGGGTTGTGTTATGAGGCACATGAGTTCAAACTTGTATTATATAAACTATAACTTAGTCAAGACATGGCTTTATCTGGATATATGATCCCATTTCAACTGCGAAGTTCAAAGCTTAATAAGAATACAGCATTGGTTTTTAACCCCCTCCAGGCGGATCCGAATGGGAAATTCAATTTAAGGTTGCATTTATCTTTCAAATTCTAATCAACCATATACTACTAGTAATTCCTTATTTGAGAATAATTGTATTTTAAAATTATGTCAAATTATAAATTTAACAAAAGAAGTATGATCCAGACTTTTCAATTGAATGTAACCCAGAATAACCTCTGTTTTCTCATGATAATCTCTGTTTTAAGTACAAAGTGAAGAGAGACAAATCCTAGTTTTTTGTCTCCGTGAAGGAAAGGAAATGATTGATTTACGGAAGTTTAGTGTTGATAGTTGAGATCCAAGAACAGGACTGGACAAATGATATTGAAACAAAAATCTGAAAGGTACACATTTCTTAGGAAACAAAGATTCAGTGACTTTTTGAAGTGTAAATTTCACCAAAGCAAGAGTTGCCGAAATGTCAACAAGAAGCCATACAAGAGTAAAAAATCCATTTTAACAAAAATCCACCATGGGGAGTACAATTCGAGTATATTACAAACAATACACCGGCAAGCTAGTCTTCTTGTCAGTAGCGTAGGGTGAGGGCCAATGATCACAGGGGCTGCAGTCACAATAACGCTTAGCTCGACCAAAACACCTTTCATCCCACAAAGCGCTGATTCAGGAATCTCAAACCATATACAAATTCAATTTGGCACACCTGAGCATTCCCAGTTTGATCCTTGAAATACTTCCAAGTGCATGAGTGAAAGAATGTTGAAACTTTCCCTTCAATCAAATCAAAGTGAACCAAACTTCAGTGGTCAAAGTATTCTGTTGTTAGCTTGGTTGGATGATGAAGGCACTTTTAGTTTAACAACCCTCTCGACATGATCAGTGCTAAATAGAATATTACTCCAGTTTGTTGATCTATGCACAAACCTGGTAGGAACCTGGTCACTATCTTCTCCACCAGATGCCTCGTAGCCGTCACTGGTAGACCTTGATAATGGAGGAATACCCTTATGAGCTATGCCACCAGATGAAGCTAAACCTGTTAACTGTCTTGCCTCTTCAGCTCCAGATGAGGATACGCGGAATGGGTGAATGTCTGGTGAATCCAAGCTGCTTTCAGGAGAAGAAGCAACAATTCCAGCTGAGCTAGACATTGCTCGGCTTGTTTGAAAAGCACTTCGTGCTTCGAGTTGAAGAGGCGCCAAACTACTTGATGTTTCAGCAAAACCTTTTTCAGCAGCTTTAGCTGAAATATTCATCAGTGGATCCAGTGGTAGGTTTGCTGGGAGGCGCGCCCGTTTATTAGAAGCTCGCCTTTTACTATTGTCAAACCTTGGGAACATCCTTCGACCATTGCTACCATAGCTGCTTTCCCTGTCTAATCCAAAATGGGCTTCCTGTCTAACCACAGGCTGCAGGATTCTTGATTTTTTTCTTGCCTCTGCTGCTGCTTTTGAAACATCTTCTGCATTAAGTCGTGCCAACGTCCAGGGACTAATCTTCACTGCTCCCGGATTCTTCTTCTTAGTTGCTTCTTCCCTCACCATCTTTTTTCCATACGAACTAACAGATCCGGTCTCTGGGGGCACTACATCAAACTGTGAGGAAAACAGAAATTGTACAGTATGAGCAAAAGATAACAGGGTTTTCATGTAGGCTGATTGTTAATTAGGTAATTACATAGAAATTAACAGGTTTAAAAACTAAATCACAAACAATAAACGAATGCAAAGGAACCAAGGTAAAAAATACCATCAATTGGGGTATGTGGTAAGTTTCAGTCAGTAGACAACATAATCATGGCAGAATAACTAGCTTGATACAGTACTAATTTGCTGTAGGAAAGAGTGGATTAGTTAAATTACCTGGTCTTCAAGAAACAACCTAGGGGGTGTACACCATGCACCACGGTGGAAAGTAGAAAAGGAGCTCGCACTGCTTAATCCAGTAAGTGAGCTGGCAGGAGACATCTGGGCAGATTGCTGACATTCGGCTTCTTGCAGTTCTTGCTCCTGTTCCCTTAAAGCAATTATGTAATCATATGTGCTTATTCCCTGCATAAAACAGATGATTCTCCAATAAGAACCATAGCCTTCATGAAGAAAATACATCTCAAATATAACAGAAACAAGTTCACGAAACCTTGTCCACAATGGAAACAACGTTTCAACTTAAGGGGAAGCTTTCTACTCAATTCACTTAATTGAGCCCAAAAATCAACATTAGGGAGCAAACAAAGGTATGTAATTGCTAAGTTGCCAAAAAGTGAAAGAAATGCCGAGAAAATATAACCAAAAGCAAAATTCACATAATTGGAGTAGTAAACTACCTTTTTTATGAGAAGAATGTGAAAGAAGAAAAGCTGAGCAAGTGGTAAAGTCGCTATCAAGGCCAAAATAGTGCACGCTGCCTGTAATCATGTAAAACTGCATTCATCAATTTGACATTGAAATATGGAGCTCATAGCAACTGATGAATCTAAATATAGATTACTAAGAAGCTCATGGATTTACACAACATAAGAAAACTAGTGGTTCAATCAACTCATTTTTCCTTTAAAAGAAAAAAAGAAGTGGAAAACAGATCCCCTTACCGAACAGATATGATTTGATATTCAGAGGTGATTTTATTCATCATATGTACATACTACTTATAATGATACAGGAGCTAAGGATGTAGAGTTCTAATCTAATATATTATGGAATCCTAGTAACACCAAAAACATAATATGAAAAATTCATGATACAATCTAAAAATAAGATACACATAAAAACTGACAAAAATATCATAGTTCTGAGATTTTCTTTGCATGGGGACTACTCATATGAAGCGAGAATATTCATTCAGAATAAAACATAATAACGACAACCAGAAAATGGAAAGGTAGGAGAGGTCCAAACATCTGAATGTATTATGGAAAATAACTCAGTAACATGGACAAAGACTCAGAAAGGACAGAATGCTTTTGCTTTCAATAATACTCAAACTTAAAAGAATTAACTTTAGAAACTAATGAAGGATTTACGAGGTCATTTTTTAAGTCTAAATAAGACAGGAGAATTGCAATGTCCTAAAAGATAATCCCAAAGCTCAAAACTTGACAAAGCAGCAATATAGGATGGATAAATGGAAGAGGACAAAACCAAAGTTGATGATGGGAAGAAATATAAATCACCGGGGCAATTGCACTAGAGAATAGGTGTCTGAATCTTGAGGTCCTTAACACAAAAACCAAAGGGATCAAATTCTATTGAAGAAGAATTATCTTTAATGAAACTTTTAGCTGAGATGAGATCAGCAATAAGAGAGGGCATAACCAAAACATTGTTCAGGTGAACTCTTTACCAGAACAATTTAAAACAGAAGAACCAATATGAGACATATTATGAATGGACTCATCTCCAAACATAACTTTTGAGGCATTTGTGGGAGAGGAAAAGTTGAGAATATCTGGTGTGGCTGTCACATGAGAGGCCGTCACATGAGAGGCTGTCCCAATATCAGGCAACCAGGAAGTTCATGTGGCTCCTTGAGTTGAAGAGCCGCAATTATTTTGGATCAAGTGCTGCATGGATACTTGCCTCATCAACAAAGGAAATTCTCAGGCAGCATGATTACATCCCAAACAAAATTGACACTTAAGTCCTGTAGAGGAGTGATTGGGATGTTGTGTTTCAGGAGTTGGACAAGAATTCCAAGTGAAAAGTGTCGATAAGAACTAGCATACTGGTGGATAGGTGGATTATCATCTCTACCACGTCCCTGTAATTAGAAGCTATCTATGGCCAATTTGAGAAAAACGATTCATGGAAAACATGATTGCTGATAAGTGTTTGTGGCAACAAAGGCAGAGGAATTGATTGCCAAAGAAGGTCCTTTCTGATGTTGTGAAATCATAACATTGTAACCCTGAAAAACTGGAATGAAAAGAGATTTCCAAACTAGATAATTAGTGAATCATGATGTTCGCTAACACAATTATTGATATTGGAAACTCCAAAAGAAGGATGAGAAGTTCGAAGAAAGTTGAGACAAAGAGGAAGAAGAATCAGCCATAGTCGAGGAAGAAGAATGACTCATGTTTGCAGGAGTATGAGATGAGCTCGGTTAGTCTAAAAAATGGTAGATGAAGAGAGCAGATGTGAAAGAAGGAGAGAACTAATAATAGAGGCAGCAGAGAGATCCAACGTAGCAGGAAATAGAGGCACCAGTCCAAGAGAACAGAGGCAGCAACAGAGAAACAATAGCTGCAGAGGCAGAAAGTAAAGATCTTACTGTGAGTGATGGGACCGTGAAACACAGCTGTTGCGATAAGAGATCTGAAGATAAAAAGTGTGGCAAAGAAACAGGAGCACTGATGAACAGATCAAAATAATGCTGGTGCAGAAGATAAAAACTGATCTTGCTATGAGGGGAGAAAGAAAGTAACGGGACTGTGAAACGAGCCTGGTGCATTGATCAGATTTGCATAGCAGTAAACCGACGATGAATACTGCAGCAGAGAATAAAGGCGCTGATGACGGAGATCTATGATTTTTTTTATGTTTTATCGTGAAACTGAAAATCAGAAGCTAGAATGTTTTTTTTTTGGGTGCTCTGCTCTGATACCATGACAGATATGATTTGATATTGAAAGGTGATTTTATTCATCATATATACATGCTATTTATAATGTTAAAAGAGAAGGATTTAGAGTTCTAATCTAATATGTTTTGGAATACCTTTTTTTTTTAAATAAGATATTTTTGGAATACTTATAACACCAAAAATATAATGTTAGAGATATACACAAATTGTAATACAATTTATATAAAAGATAAATACTTTCAACTCTACTTACCACCACAATAACAAATGGAACCAAAGAGAAACTGCTTCCTAGCTTAGAGGAGATATCCACAGAGAATCTTTTCCGTTCAAGAAAACAGCAGATAAGCACCAGTATTCCAGTTGACCATTGTACAACAAGCTGCAATTCCAAGCCCAAGGGGGACAAACCATGTATATACCTGTCAATAACCAATTAAAATAAATTGAAAATAAAGGGCTTACTCTGAGTTTTCTTCCCTTCCGGCTTGTTGCTTGTGGAGTAACGAAGACAAAATTAGCATAAAGATTATTTCACAGAGGAAAGATTTCAAAATTTTGATTATTTGTATAGGAAATGAGTGTTAATCATTATGGAACCAACGATCAAGCCAAAAGTAGATAAAGTTAAGCATAAGCAATGATGTAAAAATTGCAATATATCAAGTGTTTCCAGATAATAGCTGAGAGTGCTACAGACCAACTCTAGCAAATTGGTTGATACCTTCTCAACTCACTTAGAGGTCAGGCATACAAGTGCTACAATAGAAGGCTTTTCATGTAGAGAAATTAAAAAATAAAAATAATAACTAAGGATGCTGGTCGCAAATTAGATATCTCCTATTTGAACAATGGAATCTGTAGATACCCTAATGAGTCCTGGAAGAATTAAGGTAGACAGGTGACTGAAAAACATTTACTGGTCATGGTATGTTGGTAATTGCAGTCTGACTCTTGAAGATTCTAATATTGGTCAAGATGCATAGATAATTATGGCCTGATTAGTAAAGATTTTCATTAATGCAAAAGATGGAGTCCATGCTTACCAAGAGAAGGGCAGAAACCATGAGGGTGAAAAATTGTCGATAGTTCCTTTTGCCTATACAGTTGTTGAGCCACTACACACCCCAATGAAGGAAGAAAAAGAAAACATTAGAGGAATCATCGAGGAAGATTTAATTTTTTTCAAACAAATAAGATCCTGCTTACCCTGCAGTGATGATCAAAGCGATCAACACATTTATCACAAACTCGGCAGTGCTTGCTGTACTTGAAAACCTGCCAAAAATTATAATGTTTTTTTTAAAATAAAATATGAATTATATTCAAGATCATCAAGGGGATGCAGCCCGTATAGAGAATATTTACAGACCTATCAAAATATCAAGACCCCTGCTTTATTCTAGCCAAAAAGTATAATCTTAACATCATGATTATAAAATCATTAAAGGAAAGTAGAATAATAACTTCAAAAAACCAATTATCAGATGGCTGCAAGCCAGTAACTTTGCACGAACAGCACAGCTTCAAAATCATGAAACTAAGAAAATTCTCAACATGTAACCAAATAGGGCATATAATCCAATCATTTGAGCTTCCATAATGGTAGTGATTAACTACTACAAGAACATATCCCGATTAACTTAGAACTAATTCTGATCTTAAGTTGATTTTATTACCTCAACTTCACACAAACTGCAATAGAACATGCCATCTTCACTCATCTGAAGCTCAGAAGATTCCTCCCTTGCACTAGAACAATTACAAATAAAAGCACATGGGGAGAAAAGCAACGACACACAAGATGAATGCTCTGGCGAGGAATGTTTCTTCTCTATTTCACGAGTTAGATCCTTCAAAGTTGCATCTGTACCTAACACATCCTTCTCCACAGATTTCTCACCAATCGTAACTACACTACCATCATGCAATGATGGAGTTGATCCCCCACCTTGTTTTGAATCCTTTGGCCGGGCATGTTTTCCATTTTCAGGAATTTTGAGATACTTTTTAGACCTGAAAACTCCAATATCTGCAGGATCGGCTGCAGCACACCATATATATAGGCCAAAGACACATGTAATCTGGAAAGAACATGTAACGATATTTTAGCGGGGTGAAAGCAATTAATTACAGAATAAAAGGATCGAATAACTGATGAGAACTTGGGGAGTTTGAAAACTATATAATATTAACTTACTAATTGGCTAAACTACTATTTCATTTATTTCTGAAAAGAGCCCAAACCACTTAATATTGCTCCATAACTGCCATGCACACAACTCATAACTTGCATTCAAGGCTAGCTTAACTTTGACAAGAAAGTTTCTTTCATTAATCAGCAGGCAACATACAGTTTCTTGAAAATCCAATTGCAAAGTATGTAGAATGGAATATCAATCAAGTGATCCAGCCTGATGTAATATCCACTGGCTGGATAACCAGAGGGTTAAGTTATTCAGTTTGCAAGAACCTGCTAAAGAGAGCATATTCAGGGACAAGCAAACCAAATGAAGTCACCTTCAGAAGGCAGAATTACACAAATAGGAGGGCATTGGTACTCAAAATTTGAATTCCACTTTATAAGTAATGAGTAATAATGCCATAAATCAAAGGACATAAGATTCAAATTCTAATGAGAGAAAGACAGCCTGCATTGCTCCCCTCTGATCCCAATTGAAAGATTAAACCATGAAAGCACATTGAAACTTAAATACTGCACCACCAAAACCCAGAAATTCTCTCAAGGGAACGCCTCTTAAGACTAAGTTCACAAACACGTAGCAGAGGAAGAAATTCAGCAATAAGGTGGGCTGCATTGATATCTTCAAAGGGCAAGATCACAGTTCTCGCAGCAGATTAAGCAACCTGATGAAATCTACTTCACCTAACATTTTAATGTACGACATCAAGAAGGACCTAGGGAAAAACCAGCCAATGAGCTTGCTCCGAACAAGTGAAAATCTCTCCTCTTTTTGTGGCTCAAAATTCAAGTTCAAGTAGCATACGCCACAGATTCAAAATCCAAAGTTACTAAAAGACAGGCAAAGATTTACCTCATACGAGCAAAATCAAATATGAAGGATACTGATATACATTAAATCATCGGTGGATAATGTTACCAAAAGATAGAAATGAACCAGAAAGGAAAAGGACATCAAGTTGCAGCCAAATACCTTGTTGCGTGGTGGGGGTAAAAATGGGAAATGCGTGAAAATGGAAATCAAACAAACGGAGAAGAACAGATCTCAGTTCCTCAGCCCACTAAAATTACTAAAAGAACACAAGGGAAAGTAATGAGAGAGTGTTAAAATAACTTACAAGTGGAGTATAGATACCCATCACAATGTACTGAAATATCTTCTTCCCGACAAAAGGAGCAAAGAATACATAGAAAGCAAACCCCAATGCCAAAAACACCGCAACAGCCACCACCTTCATAACACCAAAAACAGCAGCCAAAGTTTGAACTCGAAACGATAAAAGTATTTAGTATCTAAAATTTACAAAGGAAAAGTAGGAAAAAAATCGCAAAGAAAAAATACCTGGAGTGGGTGGTAAGGAAGCTGCCATCCATGTTTTCTCATAGGAAACTAAAATACTGCAATCCACAAAGAAAATGAAAAAATAGGAAAGGAAAATAAAAGAGAAGAGACAAGAAAAATGTATTGGAGAAGAAAAAGAATGAGTTTGTTCTCTCTCTTCTTCTCTGCTTCACTTATTCTTCCTCACTTTCCCTCATTTTCCGGGAAGAAAGAAAGATAATT